ATGAGCCAATAGGGCGGCGAGTAGCTCAACCAATCGGGGAGAGGGTTAAACCGGCTCCGCCCAAGAACCAATCAGAAGGGGAGACCTTACTTCCCGCGCTAGTATTCAACAGTATTTACATGTGTTCAGTTACAAAATGGGTTGGCTGAGTATCATGGAACTTGTGGCTCACTATTTCAGACGTTGGTTGGCTTGGAGAACTTTAGCAGCATTCTTGGGGGGAAATGGAGCAAGATAGATAGAGGCTAAGTAAAACACAGTTTCAATTTTAAAGCGAAACCTTTGAATAGAAAATAAAAGAGGAATGAACTCACCAGCAGCTTGGCTGTCCCTCCTCCCCCCTTGAAACCTTTGCCTCAAACCACAGCCATTTTGTGTCTGTAGAGGGGCTGTGTCACTAATTTCAAGTTATCTTGTGGACTCCACCCAAAAGCATAAATGCATGCTAGTTGCACTATCAGCATGTATGTTTCCCTCAATCAGTTTTGCATATGCAATTCTTCCAGGGAAAAGTAAGTGTGGCAGTAGTGGGTAGGAGTGATAAGGGACAAAATAAGTGGAAAGAAAAGGAACATCAAATTGTTTGTTTGTTTTTTAAAGGAGGAGAATATGAGACAGCTTTGCTGTTTCTTTGGGAATATATTCTATTTTAGAGAGTCAGAATAATACAGTAAAATGCTTTTGTAATATTAAATGGAGTTTGAGCTCATATGGTTAAAGCTTTGTTGTCCTTTCCAGTAATAGATTGTATTTTCTGCATGTTTACTTTATATCCAATACAGTTGCTCTTATAAAATCTGAGGCAAAACAGCACTCCAAGAGTAAAATTCTCCATATTATTGAGGAAAAATTTGCACTGTTTTCAGTGTGGTTCTGCTCAGATAACTGATTGAAACAAGGCATACTCAATATTAAATTGCTATGCAGTATTAACCATATAGTTTTTTTAACAAAATATTTGTTTAAAGTAGTGTATCAATTATGCAGTGGCAATCATTTTCTTGATCTTTTGATATTCTCTCTGCACACTCCTGGTAGATGTTGTTTTTGAACTCAGATCATATTTATGATTACGTAGCTGCTATTTATGGCTTGAATGTTTTATTAACATTTTAGCTTTTAATTTTATCTTCTGCCATTATAAGTATCTCATTATCTTAACCTGTCATAAGACCCCCATGGGCAAACAGGATATGGGCAGACATGAAATTAGCGACCACAGGGGTTAATAGTTGAATGTGCAGACCTATTGAGATAAATTAATAGTTTAATCATGATTTGACTGGCACAGGGCAATTATGCATCTCAAAATGTATTTGCTTAATACTTTCTGGAACAGATTGTGAGGTTGAAAGATAAGGGTTTCGGGGATGAGAAGCATAGAAAGTCACATTGCACAGATTTTTGACTCAGATCTTGATGCTGGTTAGAGTACAGTTTTATGTATACATATTGATAAGTAAATAAGTAAATCCCCTTGTGTTCAGTTATTATTTATTATGTAAGTATAGAGAGACCTGCAGAAAAATTTGGATTTATAAAGTCTTATTGATTAGATTTCTAGAACACAGTAACAAGACATTTATATAAATAATTGTGATTTTATTTCCAATAAAGTTTTCATGACTGAATCAAATTCTGTCCATTTCTTTAAATAAGCCAACAGAACAAATTGATGTTTATTTCTCTAAAGAGTTCATAGTTACAAATCTGAAGTAGAATACATGACACAGGATATTCATGTATATGTCTAAATAAGAAAGTTTCTAAGAAATGTCTATAAATGTATAGATAATCACTTAAGTTGGATTCCTATTACATAAACAAGTTTTGCACTCTGGGCAAATTTTCTTATGCGAGGAAATGTTTATATAATGGTTAAAACTCTATGTTTAGCTTTCTGTCCTGCTATATATGGGAACATAACACAGTGTGTAATTTTTTATTCCATTGACTATGTCTTGCAGAGGACTATGAGAATCTACTAGCTGCGGAGGCACTGCTGGAGCTGTGCTTAAAAGAAAACCTTGCCAAAATCAAAGAAATCACGCCATTAATGGAAAAAAACGAGCCCAAACTGAGTGACGCCAAAAAGTTTTTGACTGACATTCTAAATCGAGGAAAACTACTGGTAGGAATTCTAGATAGAAATAAAAAAGAGCATAAAAACACTGCTAATGATATACATTCAAATGGTTTAGATAATAAAATGTTGGAATCTTTAATCTCGCCTGATGCATTTATAAAAATCTGAAATAATTGCTTTCTATCTGCAGCAGCTTTTATTCAAAAGAATGTTGGGGTTTGTTATGATTTACTAAATTAAACTTTCAACACTATACAAATTAATAGGCAATTCTGTCCTCCAAGAACCAACCCTTCTAGAATGGCATTATCCATATGAAGAAATGAAGGCATTAGCAGGTTTTGAGGGTTTGCAGAAGTATAGACACAATTTAGGGACACCAATATCAAAGGTTGCCATTGAGGACCAAACATAAACAAGGGTCATGAAATATTGCTGACTTGGAGGAAGGAAATAATAGGGGATGGCGTGGTGGGGTAGAGAATACAGTGTCCTAGTAAAAGACATGAGTGGCTAAGTCCAGGGTTTCCAAATTAAAGCTACTAAGACTCTTGAACATAACTTTGAGAAGGTGCTTTGGAATGTGTGATAATGTGAGCACAGCCACCTCTTCTGTCTTTTCTCAGAATTCTATGTGAGCCTAGAAAAAGGATGCAGCTATTTTAGTAAATCAAATCAATTGACTCATTAAAACAACCACATCTTTTCTTCTGGCTCTAACAATGCCAACAATGTTTTATTGCAGATACACTTATGTTTCTATAGATCTATTTTAGGAGCGCTAATGATACAAGAGACTTGCTTTTTTTTAAAATAACAACAAGGAGACATCATAATGGGCAGAACAAGTCTAACTGTACAATTTATTGTTATGGAAGCTGCCAAGAGACTCTTTCTTTGGCCTGCTACTTGAACAATTCCACATGGGGTAGTTTCAGTGGTGGATATTGGTACGCCCCGATATGGACGTATCGGTGCCTGCTGGGAGCACCAGGTACCGTTACGGTACAGTGCTCTGGAGGGCCCACCTGCCCGCCCACCCATGCTCCTTACCTGTATTCGAACTGTTCGGGGCTTCCGTGCAAGCACACCGAGTGTACAGCGCCTGCGCGACACCCGCCAAGCAGCTGGTGTGTTGCGGAGCATTGGAGGCAGTAAATACGCATGCACCTACTGCACGCATGTGTGTGCATGCTGCGCGTGTTCATGTGGTGGGCGGCCAGCCCCGTTGCACCGTACCAGTTGCACCAGGATCCGGAACCCACCACTGGGTAGTTTATTCAGGAGTCATAGCTCTAATTCAGCATGGTGGGATTTTATGTCTCTTTCAAAGTCCCAACTTCTAAAAATCTGCATTAATTCATTAATGTGAGTTTTCGTTACAAATTGGGAAAGTTACTCTTTTGTACAAGTATTATATACAAAAATGAGGAAAGCTTGATAAAATATTTCACATTTCTCATATAGCTAGTCCTCAACTTTGCTAAGTGAAACAGTTGTTAAGTGAGTTTTGCTCCGTTTTACGACCTTTCTTGCCATAGTTAAGTGAATCACTGGAGTTGTTAAGTTAGTAATACAGTTAAGTGAATCTGGCTTCCCCATTGACTTTGCTTGTCAGAAGGTCTCAAAAGAATACTAAAACTGTCATAAATGTGAATCAGTTGCCAGGTATCTAAATTTTGATCACGTGACTGTGGGGCATGCTGCAACAGTCATCAGTGTGAAAAACGGTGATAAATCACTTTTTTCAGTGCTCTTGTAACTTCAAACAGTTACTAAATGAACTGAGGATATCAGTGTGGAAGTAAGTTATACATCCATTTGGATCTAGCATACCTATGAAAAAATAATCTGCCAATTTTTCCATTTTTTTCACTTGGAGTTAATTTATACTTAATTTAAATGGCTAGCAAGGTGGATATTATAGTTATGTTAACCATGCACTGATTTTCATGCTCTGAGGCAAACTTCCAAATTTAATCTCCTACAAATGGCAACACTGTCTATTCCCTGGCTATTTTTGGTTTGGAAAATGTGAATGTGACTGAGAAATAGCTGTATGAACCATAGGGGGATCAACCATTTAGAGGGGGTATTCTTAAGTTTTAACCTTTTGGGTTGTTACAGATAAAGCACTTTGTGTGTTTCAAATCTCTCTATTGCTTAAAGCCATAAACTGGGCTGTATTCATAATGTGTTAGTCAAGGTTGATGGCCTTTATAGCACTGTGGTGCTCAAGCTGGTATACTTGGTAAAAACAGGGCAATGGTTACTTAGAAGGGATGCAGTTAATGCTGCAATTAAATTAGATGTAAGAAGAGGCTGATGTAGGATTTTATTAGAGTAAGATTTAATTTCCCTTGTTTGAAGTGCTGTAACTTTTCAAAGGATAGCTGAAATGTGTGTGTGTGTGTGTGTGTGTGTGTGTGTGTGTGTGTGTGTG